TGATGTTACACTCATTGAGACCTTTCATTTGAGTACCCACATCATTTTTTCATATATTTTATATATTTATATATATATAAATATATGAAAAATTGATGTGGGTATTCAAATGAAAGGTCTCGATGAGTGTAATGTCGGGGTGAGCTTATATCTTTAAAAATGTCAATAGTTTACAAGATACAAAGTCATTTCTCAATTATGTTAAATTGCACTTTACTTTCTTAAATATTGACATTTTTTTAAGATATAAGCTCATCCCGATGTTACACTCATCAAGAGCTTTCATTTGAGTACCCACATGCATTTTGATATATTTTTCACGACAACTACCTTAAGAGATGTAAATATTTTAAAACAAGATTGAAATAATAATTTTATTATTATTTTTATGATCATTGTTATTATTGTTATTATTATTATTATCTAAGAAAAATTTTCTTAATTTATAATTATAGTTTATAATTATAAAATAAATTTAAAAAAGTAAATAAATGACAATAATAATAATAAACTATAAAGTTCGAATTTTAATTACCGGCAAACGAACTTTTGTACAGTACCAGTTAACTCGCGATTCATTTCAAAGTGACGCTCTTATTCACTCTCAAACTCTTCATGAGCGTCAATTAAATTGAAAAACTTTTTCATCTAGCATCACCGGAACTTTATTCTTTTATATATTATTATTATTATTATTATTATTTTTTTTTTTTATTGTTACTTTTATAATTTATAATCATTATTCATATCGCAATTCGAAAGCAATCATGTGAATTAATTAGTAGAAACAATAATCAATTGTCGTGTAATTAAATTGCTATTTATCGGGCATTCACAATCAATTATCGATAATTGACATTAATTGTAAATATAATGCAATTTAATGATACATTAAATAGTGATACCGGATTAATTTATTTTATTTATTTCAGAGACGAAACTCTAGAAGCGTTAGGTGACGCGAATACAGTAGCACCAGCAACTAAAACCGTCGATCTTCACAGTCAATCTCACAGAAATTCTTATTTGTATGTTTTTGATTACCAAACTAAATTTGGAGATTATGTCCAGGTATTTATACTTTTTTATTACATCAATTATAATTAAAAATATTTATTATTTTTTTTTTCTTGAATTTTTACTTAATTAAAAATTCTTTTAGAAAAAAATTCAAAACTGAATATTAAATTAATATAATCAATTTTTTTTTTCAATTTATAAACTTTAAAACATACCCGATATTATAAAACAATTTTTACTCTTTTGAACAGTTACCTCAACCTTAAAAACCGATGTAACCTCCACGCCTAACTTACCAGAAAATTATAAATAACTTAAAAAAGCTTTTACTCAATAAGGGCTGAAAAGAAAAATACTTCGCTGGTTTTTTATTGGCAAATTATGAAAATTAAGTTACATCAGTATATAATTAAGTTAACGTGACTTTTTAGCGTGACGTATGCGCACACATATAACAGAATAGTTGTAAAACAACTTCTAGGTTAATTTGGTCATAAAAATATAAAAAATTAAATATTTCTTCCCTCAAATCGGCGCACAAAAAATCAATAAACAGTATATCAATAATTAGATGGTAATTTCACAAATTTTGCAATTTGTTTAAAATTATTCTACTAATTACTCAGCTTTGGAATCAATATTTCATTTAATTATCTTGGATCGCCCGTTAAATTATTATTGTAAACATTTTCAATTAATCAACTGAAATTAATTAAGCAATCAGAATATTTTATGTTGATCATTCAAAATTAAATTGTTTTACATTAGTCATTTGAAATTAACTATTTCAAATTATCGATGGACTATTTAATTATAAGTAACATTGATTTCAATTAGTTATTGAAAATTAAATTGACATCACAAAACATGAAAACATTTTTCTATTAATATAGTAAAAGCTACATAACTAAATATTATAACTACGTTTATAAAAAAAACTTGCAATGATAATGTGCTTTGGCTTAATTATTTTTGATATTTTTAATTACAATATACACAGTTTGAGTGCTTTTGGAATACATTTAAAAATTAATCCAATTACAGGATCAATTTCTAATTATTTAATAAAAATGTGATGGAGAAAAATTATCGAACAAAAAAAAAATAAAAATTGACTATCTCAAAAAAAATGTATAAAATCGTAAAAAAACAAAAATTCACGTCAAAATTTCTTTGATGATACCAAAATGAACTATAAAAATCAATTTTAAAATGAAAATAATTATATGGATTGATATTTGAAAAATAACTATGTTGATAAATAAACAAATATTATCTAGCGCAAATCTATTCAAAACTAGATAGAAAACATAATAAATTAATTATTTTAAAAAAGCATACACTGAAAATAAAAATTAAATTGATTAAAGAGATAAATTATTGAAGCAAAAAAATTATTTTAAAGATTTTCTTAGAGGATAAATTTTCAAATCAAGTAAAATTTACTTAAATCAAAAAAAGTTTCTCAATTCAAGAATTTCTCTTGGATCACGTCAATTTTCTTTTTTTTTTTTTTTAGTGAATCAAAACTTCAAAATGCACACATTTTGGTAAAAAATTTTCCAACTATATTAAATTTAACCACAAAAAACCCATTTTATAATATAAATACAGAGAAAAAAATTTTCCTTGCTCTCTTTATAACATAATAATTATAATATAACATGGAAAAAAATTTTTTTTTTAAATTACGGCTAAATTTATTGTAATTATGGGACATAATGCGGCTCTTTTATTTATTACCATTTTTGAAATAAAAATTACGAACTACCCTGATAGCCACTTTATGCTATAAGTTCTTGTAGATAAGTTAACGACAAGTTATCGTTAAGCTAACGTCAAGTCCACAAATGCCGATCCTTATATGCAAGTTGACAATAAGGTGGTGCCGAATTTTAAAAACAAGTTATCTATAAGCTTATAGTAAACTTGAATAGAAAATTTCGGTAACTTAACGACAAGTGTTTCCCTACAATTCGTTGAAGTAAACTTGACCATAACTTGGCGATAAGTTGTTGATTAATACTTATTGTCAATCTACTTTTCGTCAAGTTATCTATAATTCGCCGCACTAAGTTATCTGAAAGTTATAGTATGAGATGGCTATCAGGGTACGGTAAAATTTGTTAAAAAAAAGTTAAAAATTATCTCAGTTGCCGACAAATGATTAAGTCATGCCATCTGTCCCACGATTACCGTGAATTTAACGTTAATTTTTAAAGAAAAATTTTTTCAGTGTACCAATTAACAATCAAAAGAAATAAAAAAAAGTTTTATTTTCTTTAAATAATCAAGTACAATTTAAATTCTTCGGAGAATAGATTCCTCAAAGCATCCTACTAATTTCCCGGGTAATTTCCTAGTTTCCTACGATATGCCGGAAGGTTGAAGATCGCAATACGTTGGGCGCCAATCCCAACCTTTGCGACACTGGGATAACGCAGACCCGTAATTCATATTGCTATCTGATCGCCAAAGTTTCCAGGATAGTGCGACAAGAAAGAGCAGAAGGGAAGGGGTAGATTTCTCCATACATACATACATATATATATAACAATATAACACACATGTACCGGAGAATGGGGGGTCAATCCAAGTATCGACCTCACTCAAAATTAATTAACCAAGACTATTAACTGAATCAAACAAAGTCACGTGCAGAATGTAACAAAGCATAAATATATGTATATGTAAATATTTAATTATCAAGTTATTTACGTATTTAATTTAATCTACATCGTCTTGGCTTTGTTGTTCCTTACATCTTGATAATATAAACATGTTTATATACTAATGTATATGTAATGCAGTAAACCGCAGTAAAGCCAACAACCCGGATTCGCTGGATGTTGAACGTATAACATCTTTAGCTCAAACTGAAGCTCTCTTACTTTGTCCGTAGAATTTAATGAGCGCATCTCTTCCTGGAGCAGAGGTATCAGAAATATTTACCCGGGATCTTACTCTGGTCTCTGCGGATAGAATCCACGATGCGAATCCACTCTTACAGCAGAGATTTAAGAAATTAAATCCTTGAGGAAAATTGTACAATAACTAAACCGGGAGAGTACAGCTCTCAGATTAATTCATCCTATTTTCCAGTACCAGATTTAATATTCTCGTCTTTTCCCTCTTTTTTGCAATCCATTCACGTAATCATTCTTATTGTTACTTATTCATTCGTTTTATTATTTTACTTGAGATAAAAATGGAGATGAAGATGTATACATCTTGTGCTTTTTGATGGCTGCATTTTTAGTATTTTAAATACGCGAACTTAAAACCTGCGTAGACAACCTTCTTTACAAACGTAACGTTAAGTTAAAGCGGATCAAATTTTATCTTCTTTGTACGTTTAACTGCTATGGAAACTTTGGAGTATCAACTCTTTTATTGCTAAGTCTTTTTAATATTTCAGAAGAGATAATTATATTTTCAGATGTTTTTTGGGCTTTTGAAAATATATCTTGTAAGTCTTGTCGTAAGAAACAAATGTAGCCTTTAAGAACTCGTAAGTCTTTAAATTATAGGTCATTATCAAAATTTTAATCTAAGTAGAGATACTTTTTTTATTTAAAAAAAATCTATGGATTTTAAATTAGGATCCGAAAGAAAATTTGGTATTTTATGTTCACACAGAAAGAAAAATTTCTTGACTAAAGAACAAAATTTTTGGCTCAAAAAAATTTTTGGATGAAGGAAGACCGAAGCTGTGTTGGCCGAAGTAAAAATTTTTCTTGAAATTCTATTCTTGGTCGAAGTAATTTTTTTTCTTAATTCAAATTATCATAAATACTTGATACAATAAATTTTTATATTTGATCAAAATTTTTAAATACTTTAGGGAAGCAGCGCCACCTACTTCAGCTGAAAAAAAAATTTTTTCACCTTGTGAAAATTTTTCTATTGAATATTTGATACCCATTTTATATTATTTTAGCGTGCAATTATACATATTTAATGAAAAAAAAAATGATTCAATATTATTTGATTTTCTCGTTTGACATGTTAATCAATAAAAAATATTAATGAATAATAATATACTATTATTGATCCTCTGACTTCAAATTTCTCTTCGTTGAAAAAAAAAAAACCAATTTCAAAACAAAGCATTCTTGAATAAAGACAACCGGCTATAAAATAATTTTCTTGAAAATAATATTTCTCTTAAATCAATTAATTTTTTTTAATTGCCCATTTATAGGATTTAAAAGCATTCACTTAAAATATTATTAATTACAAATAATAATTAATATCATCAATTTGTATTTTTTTTAAATACTTTAATAATATAAATCTGAAGCTTGTAAAAAGTGTGGAGATCTGAAAAAAAATTTTCTGGTAGTATTTGATTAGATTAAATTGAAAAAATTGCTAGATTTCTATTGCTCGCTATCACAAAAATCAAACTTCACTTTAATCAATATTAAATTATAAAAAAAAATCTTACTCGAAACTATAATATTTGCCGTGCGCAGAAATAATATAATTTCTACAAACTCTAGTTCGGATCAACGTGGTGCTACACGGAACAGCAATTTGTAGTTTTTTCGTACGGGTAAATTTACCCTGATTCCGGGTAATTTATATAGCAATCGATACAAGAATATTTGCTCTGAAATTTTCTCAGTGAATAAATTTATTATTGCGAAAACCGTGTTAGTGTTCTCAAGCTGTTAAACATTGAAGATTGAAACAAAAATATTGATCTGGAAGTTTTTTATTTTTGAGTTGATTTAATAAACATGCATGCTCATATAATTGAGAAGATTTGTATGTATACTCACTTGGATCTAATTAATTCAAGGTCTAATTTATTCAAATAATAAATTTATGTTTGCAAGTATTATCCATAATTAAATCTGGCGTTGAATTAAATTGTATTTATCCTTTCATATTAACATCAAAGCATTATGCAATTGATTTATTAAGGTAGTACTGTCGGTTAGAGAGTTACTGCTCAGACTTTAATGAAACTTGACATATTGGGAGATTTTAATGAGGTAGGAAACCATCTGAAATTTTAAAGATCTACAGAGAACCAACAAAAAATAATTAGTATTAGACCTTTTTATTAATTTCGCTTTAACTTATGTATCTATGTGCGTAACGGAACCTTTGAACTCGATTTTCGGTCACTTCAAAACGTCGGATTAAATTAAAACTTTGCTCACTTATCAAGGACCAATGATAATAATTTGATGTTTGTCCGATTATCCTGACCAGGATCTTCAGAATTGCCAATTTTTTTATATACGAAGACTCGGCAGTGACTTGCGCCAAGTACAAAAACGTGTACTAAGCCATACATAGCTTAAGGGGGTATTCTGGTCTAGAAGCATGAAATTTCAAGTAAATTTTAAAGTGCTGTAAAAAAAGGCAATTAATATTTTTACTATCCATTTTTTTATAAGTTATTTATTAACATTATAAGAATACAGCAAAAAATAAAAAAAATTGAAAATTCAAAAAATTAGCAGCTGATGAAGTGGGGGGGGGGGGGTCGCAAAAAATTGGCACGTGACGATACCCACGATTCCAACCCTCCTAGCAATCAGAAACAAAAAAATAAAAAAGATTATTAATCTAGAGTAATGTCGCTATGGTCGGAACTACAGTCATCTCCAAATTTCAATTTTTACTATTTTTAAAAAATTCGAAAAAATAAAAAAAAATGTTTTTTTTTTTTTTTTTTTCAAACAGTCGCTATTTTTTTATTTATTTATTTATCCGATTTGAATGCCAAGGCAACAGCCAAATGGCAAAAATACAAAAATGAATAATATAAAGTACATGTAAGAGTATAAAAAGGTCTACATAAACATATTAAGAGTATTTAAATTAGAAAAAACAATCAACTATTTACAATCAGTGAAAGTGAAATGAAATAAGAGTAACGAGTAATTAAAATAAGTGCCAGACTAAATTTAGATTTAATGCACTGCAAATTACACCAATTTTAACAACTTGAATTTTCCTCAGTAGTACCAGGTATCAGGCTCCCTTTAAGCTCAAGGTCATGGAAGAATTTATAAGCTTTTGGCTTAAAAGTGTCAATACTAAGTGCATTGATACCATCAGGTGGTAATTCACGCCAAAGGCGTATTGAAGAGATTAAAAATGAATGTTCATAAGAAATAGTTGAAAAATTGGGAATTTTAAAAAATTTTGTGAAAAAATTTTTTTTAAACTTTTCCGTAGTTCCGATTAATTTTTTTTTGTTTATTTAGTTTGGTTTTATACATATCAACGTCGTTATTTATAAAATATTATTATAATTATATAAATAGTGATTATAAATTAGATGCTATTTATTGTGTACATATATTACTAAACATTCTACACATGAAGATGTAAATATTCTTGTAAATTGCCGAGGGCGTTTCTTTACAAATAAATAAATAAATAATTAATCCATGTAATAATTAAGAGAAGGAAAAATATTTTTATTTTAAAAGGAATTTTTTAAATTGAATTTAGCAAGATTGCTGTAATCTAAATTTATGTCTTTTCGGTGTTTGCTATTTTTTTTTTGCGATAGTTAAATTTGGTATCATTAAAAAAGTCTTGAACTGAATTTGTGCCGTGTTAAGATTTTGTATATTTTTTTGTTTATCAAGTTTTTGGAGAAATTTCGAATAGTTTGTTGGTTCTATAAATTTTTTCCGTGAGATTTTTCATTAAATAATTGAAAATTGATCTTGTAATAATAATAATCTGTTTAATAATAATAATAATAGTAATCTGTTTAAAATTTAAATTGAAAGTATTCAAAATGTTATTTTGTGATCAAAAAATTATTTTATTCACAATTTGTAATTCTCAGCAGCCACATCGTGACTGCGCAGGTTGCTAGTTATTATTATTATTATTATTATTATTATTATTATTATTATTATTATTATTATTATTAAATAACAAGGTAAACTCACCACATTATGTTTTAAAGTTTCAGTGATGCCGTTTCACTGTTTATGATTTATAGAACAATCTCCGTTATAGTGGGAGTTATTTATTTATTTAAATTTTGTTGTTCACAGCGACTGGGGTGTATCCACGGCGAGGAACTTCCATACTTCTTCGGAGCTCCATTAGTAGGTGGTTTAGCTCACTGGCCTAAGAATTATACAAGGGCAGAGATAACGTTGTCTGAAAGTGTTATATTATATCTCACAAACTTCGCTCGTACCGGGTAAGTACATAAAATATTAAGTAAAGTATACCTGCTTTAAATGTTGTTGATTTCATCTGCCTCCTGCTGCTATACTAGTACTCAGTACCACTAAAATGTAAACATTCATCCAACGTTATGGTTATGAGTTATGTTAATATTATTTTTATAGAATAAATTACTTTTGTAATAATAATGATAACTGTTATCCTAAATTGTATTATTAAATTTAAATTAAAATTAAATTGCTGTTTTATTGAAACGGGAAATTTTTTTAGACGGCTAAAAATTATTCATTTTTTTATAGATGAAGATGATAAAAAAAATCATGTAATTCAAAATCAGGGCTCCGAAAAATATTTAATATTTTAATTTTCCCTTTTCCCAATATACTTTTAATATTTTATGTTTTTGTAATTTCTAAAGCAATTTCTCTCCTTAATTTTTTTGAAGTTATTTAATAAAATTATTTTAATTTTACAGGAATCCCAACGAAGGAACTCCGGATACTGGCCCTGGAGGCACTCGTCCTGAGCGGACCAAATTAAAAAATATACTCTGGACGGCTTATGAAGCCACACATAAAAACTATCTCAATATAGGTAATTGTTATCTTGTTCTGTACAGCAAAAAAAAATTTTATTCTAACTTGTAACCAATTATAAGAAACTTAAATAATTTGTTTTTGATTTTCAGACACAAAACCAAAATTAAAAAATCATTACCGGGCGCACAGGTTATCTTTCTGGTTGAACCTAGTACCGGATCTGCACAAGCCGGGTGGGGATGACGTTCCGCGCTCTCATCATCTGTTAGATGCTGAGCAGGTAAAAGTAAATGAATTTTTTTTTTTTATTTTTTTTTAATACTTTTTTATTGAATTTATTAAGTTATTGATATTGATGGAAGAATTTTTATTGACAGAATTCTAGAGATAATTTATTTATTTCCTTGAAATATTGTTTGAAGAAATACTTTGATCGTCTTCTCTTTTGACATTATTTCGTTTCATCAAAAATTTTATTATTAAAATGAAGAATTTACGATTTCATAGACTGATAAGAAAAATTAACTTGATCCAAGAGAAAAAAATCTTGTATCAAAGAAGTTGTTTCTTTTTTCTTGTATTAAGCAGAAAAATCTTTATAATAAGAAATTTTCTTGATTTTAATAAATTTTACTTTATTAAAAATTTATTCTTCTTTATTCAAGACAAAATATTTCTTCAAATTAATTTTCTATTGAAATTCTTTCATATTCTTTATTAAAAATAAAATTAATAAGCAAAATATTGAATTGAAAAATATTTTATGCTAAAGAAGAAATAAGAAAACAATTTTACTCTTTAAAAATCAATTGTTTATAAAAAAAAAAATTTACATTTGTATAAACACAAAAATTGACAGTTTAATATTAACTAGCAACTTTGCAGTCACTATGTGACTGCCATGACTTGTGAACTAATAATAAATAAAATTTAGCTTTATTAAATAATGGCTTTTGTTAAATTGCACCGTACTTTCTTAACTATTGACGTTTTTAAAGATATAAGCTCATCCCGTTGTTACACTCATTAAGAGCTTTCATTTGAGTACCCACATGCATTTTCATATATTTTTCATATATACATGTATATATATATATATAATATATATAAATCAATATGAAAAATTGATGTGGGTACTCAAATGAAAGGTCTCGATGAATACAATGTCGGGGTGAGCTTATATCTTTAAAAGTGTCAATAGTTCACAAGATAAAAGGTCATTTCTTAATCATGTTTCTAGAGATAGAGCATTTTCGAATGCAGCCTAAATACTTATCATCATAAATTGACTATCGGTGCGAATGATATGAAACCTTGAGAAGGCACAAATTCAAGTCAAGACCTATACAATGACACTAAATTTCACTAAAAAAACCAATTTTATCATATGACTATCCTGGAGACAATTTTTTTCTTATTCTCTTAATAATATAAATTAAAAATTTAATAAAATATTTTTCAATAATTAACAAAAATAATACAATTTAATAAAAAAGTTTTTAAAAAAAAATTTAAACCACAAAAAGCACCGAAAATAAACGAATAATAAATCTAAACTTGTGTCTAGGTCCCACCGCGGTTTATACAAAGGATACCAACAACAACAAAACTAACAACCGTTGAAATAATAACCGAACGCGTACCAAACACAACAACGAGCTCATCAAATGAATTAACGCTCGAAGAAACAACACCGCAACCTGAGGACGGTTTCGCGGCGTACTCCACCGCACTCAGTGTGACAATAGCCATCGGTTGCAGTTTATTAATACTAAACGTGTTAATATTCGCCGGCGTTTACTATCAACGTGACAAAAACCAGCACCACTGCCCGAAAAAGCGGCAAGAAAACGGGCAAATGCCTAACAATATCTGCGGGGAGCTGGAGACAAAACCGTCAGACCGTCACCATATCCAGCACATGCCGCCTCCAGATTTTGCAGACCTGCAAAACAACTCCTGTCTCGTGCCTATGCCGCCTCCTCCGCCAAAAAACACAAAACCCGCGAAGCCCCAGGCGGGCCAAAATTTGATAATGAGCCCCAATCAGCTTCAGCAGGAAAACATGCCTATGTCTGCGGTAGGAACACTGAAGAAAGGGCAAAACCACCAGCAGATAATGGAAGAACTAAGGGTCTGACTTTAGGACAACAGCTCATCGAGCTGTTCTCGGATCATCTCGACTTCTTCATTTTACGGATGATTGAAAAGTATATTAATAAATAAACAATTAATAAAGAAAATTACATGGAAAGAACAAGATAACACTGGATATCATCTCAGATTATATTCAGTGATATCTGGAGTGAAAAAAAAAATTCAGATAGTACACGGAAAAAAGTAAACTGTAATAAATAACAGTCGATTTATAATAAGTAATGATCAACTGCTAAAAATTACAATTTCAAACAGTAAAATCGTGATTTTACTATTCACTTTATAATATTTACCATTTAAACGTTACAATTTACTCTTTACATGGAAAAAATACTATTTCAAACAGTAATATTCGCTATGTAAATGTCTAAAATGTTTAAGTATAATAATTAAGAATTCAGACTTTGATATTTATCATTTCGTACCTTAAAAATGATCTTATGATATGTAAAAAGTATAAAATAAAGTTAGTAAATTTCTAATACAAGCAACGTCAATATTTACAAAGTAAAATGGTAAATTTTAAACGCAACGCTAAAAATCAAACTGTAATTATTGACTTGCTTGGACTGGTAAAATGTATATTTTAAAAGTATAATTTTTACAATTTCAAATGTTAAATTCTCCCAGAGTGAGACCCCCTTCTCTTTCATCTGAGTTCCCCTTCTCCTCATAATATGGACTATATATTGAAATGGCAATTTTTACTGTTTGAAACTGTAATTTTTTAAGATGAAAAAGTCGTTATTTACTATAGTGACAGCTACTAATCACTTATTTTGGATATTAAATTATAAATTGTAGCTTTTATACTTTCTACATTAAGTTCTGTAATATTTATATTTTTGCCACCCCGATATCCGCTTTACTGTTTGAAACTATAAAAATTACCCGGAATCCGAGTGAATATTACAGTTTACTTTTTTCCGTGTAGCTAAAAAAATTCAGATTATACAGAGTGATATCTGGATTACACTCATTGTAATCTGGATAATACTAGCTACTATCTGAAATTTTTTTCACTTAGTATAATCTGGGATGATATCCAGTATCATCTTGTTTTTTCCGTGTAATGTTTACCTCTACTCGCGAAAAAATCATTGAAAAATTTGAGGATAAATTCTTATACTGCCAGAGGACATTTTAAAACAAATGGCCTTTAATCCTTTTGTATGGATCCACGATAATCCTCTATTCGTACTCAGACACTACGAATAATAAATGAAAATTTTTTTCATCCTGCCACGTTATTTGTGGACATATACAGAATCGTATAAATATATATATGAATATAAATTTATAAATACAGATATAAATATGAATATAAATGCATCCGTAGATCGCGTGGCTGCAATTCGAATTTTAAATGTTGTTCAGCTCGCGGCGACTACTTTGTACAGTTATTTATTATAAATGTAACATTTGGTAGTGATTTTAATATTTTTTTTTTTGACGTCGGTCCACGCTGTGTGTGTGTGATTATTGATTAATTATTTATAATAAATAAGTAATGAGTGAATTATTGTAGTTTTAAGTTTTACGTTGTAAGATAATTTTAATAATACGGATGCTTGCTAGCAGAAATATCAATGAGCAAATGGGTTATTATTAGATTTGTTCTTTTTTTATAAAATTTTGTTGGTAAATTTTTTAGTTGGTAAAAATATCTAAAGAAGAAATGACCAATTACAATTATTTTATTTTTTAATTTTTTTTGTATAAGAAGAAATATTTTAAATAATTTTTTTAAATTTATAAAAAATTAACTATTAATTTTTTTTTAAAGTAAAAATAATTAAATGTTATTTTGTTGAAGATATTTGTCACAATATATAATTAACGCTTTGATATTTTCATCCAGTGACGGTGATATTTTAATTAATTAATTAATTGAATATATATGAAGAGTTTATTGTTAATATTTAAATTATTGTAATTATAAATAAAGTGAATTAGCGGTGAATATTGTTAAAAATTAAAAATTTAACGAGTTAAATCTGGATTAAATTATATTATTGTAATTATTACTATCGGAAAAGTAATTGTATTTATTATTTATAAGCACTGGATGTGCCATGCTCAAAAATTAAAGAAGAAATTAATTTATAATTACAAAAACTGCCAGATTAAATTATAATAATAATAATTTAAAATAGAATGTGCTTCGAGAGAAGAAAGGTGAAGATTTTTTTTAGCGAGATAAAAATAAACGGTAATATTGATCTCAATGAAGAAAACTCTGAGCGGCACATTCATATTGTACTTGATGAAGGACTTTGTTTTTATTATTATTATTATATTGTTCTTTATTAAGCTGATGATTTATATTATTAACAATAGAGTACTGTAAATAACAAAGGAAGAATAAAGACTAAGTGGATATTAATAATTCACAGTGAATGTGTGTAAAACAAAATTAGGGTATACTTTGTAAAATACATTATATATAAATGAAGATGAAGAACGAAAATATTAATAAATGGGATAAGATAAAGTAATATTAAATTTAATAATAAATAGTTAGAATTTAATTGAGTGACCGGGTGAGGTATATAAGTAAAGTACTAAGTTTAAATATAAATAAACGAATAAGGGAAGATGAAAAAATGAAGACAGTTTTAAATTTGTATATAATTGATATTAATATTATTATTAAGTACGTAATACTTATCAAATTATATTGTTTCAGTATTTATGATTATGGAGAATAAATAAATGATTTTTTTTTTAATCAATAAATTGTAAATTTAAAAATGATATGTGTGTTTTTATTTCATCCGTAATTATAAGAAGTTACACAAAGTTTCTTTATAAATAAACAACAATGTATACAAATACATGTTTTTTATTCATAAATTAAGTAATTTGTAAAGAAGATTTTTTTTAATCAATTAGAAAATCGATTTTTCTCTCCTAGTAATTTTTCAGCGGTACTAACTTATATCCGGGTCAAATGTTGTTTTAATAGTTTTAAGAAAAAATTCATTTTATGTTTGTTATTAACTAACATATTTATTATTATAGTTTTAAGAACAAATTTTTTTATGTTCGTTATTGATTAACACCTAAGTTTATCAAGATCGTGTTGTCAGCATACTAAGTCTTTTATTTGTGTTTTTTAATTAGTTTTTTTAGATTATCCTAAATAATTTATAATTAAATATTTAAACAATAATGTTTCTAAGGTTGAAATAATATAAAAGTCTTTTTAATAAACAACTTCACGTACACATTTTGAACTTTTCCCACCAGTCACAATAAAAAAATTTTTTTAATTGTTTCTACGTAAGTAATCAGTCTAATTCTTCATAATATTGAATGTTTGTAGGATAAATTTTGTATTGAGAGAGAAGTATTTTTTAAAAGTTTAGTGGTCGAACTGAAATTGGACTTTAAGTATACCTTTGGTAAGAGAGAAGGATTTTTCTTAGTCCCACCAGTCACACTCAGTCAAATGATAATTACGAGAAACTTAAAAAGTAATCGAGGTTTTTGACAAAGGGATGTTGTTAATTAGTTATTCTTCTATGTTATAAGATAAATTTTACTGTAGTATAAATTTCAGTCACATAATTACAGCTTATAATTGATGGAATTCCAGAGTTTCTTTCCAATTTTTTTTTTTATTAATTTTTATAAATAAATTATAATAAAACAAATATTTTTAAAAATTTACTTTTATAATTTCTTATTTTTAATTATCAAGTAGAATTTTTTTTTTTTAATAATAATATTACTATTGTAAAAATTTTGTTAAAATAAAAACAGCACCTGAACATTTAAAAATTTTTTTTTTATTACAAAAAAATTGAAAAAAAATTCTACATATAGAAAAAATTGTAAAATTATGCATACAATTTTTAAAAAATATTTTTTTTTTATTTCTAATTAAATTATTTAAAAATAAAAAAATTTTTTAAGTATTATTTTGATTTCAGTATCAGAAATCAAACGTGTTATTATTAATTAACACAAAAAATTTCATATAGATTCACGGGTACTAATTTCAGGGTAAAATTTACAAAATTACTAAAAAAAAAATAAATATAAAAAAAGATAAAAGGTAAGAAAAAAATTTATAATCATCAATATCTATTTTATTGCACCCAAATACATTTACTTTTAATTTCAGTTGCATGTAGTGTCACAATCATGGCTGTGTGTTTAAGTACACATACAAATTGATATAAGTTCAATCAATAAAAGTCAATATAAGCAATAGAAAAGAGCATAGAGCCCGTGAACACAAAACAGTTGTGATTTTTGAGTCGTTATTTTTATAAATTATTTCGTTAAAGCCTGCTATGGCCGCCAAAAATACATTGTTGTAAAAGCCAATGAATGCGACCGCAATTTTAGTTTTATTTTTATCTTTATAATATATATCATACTAGTTTACAAACCCCGCCAATCAATGTCCAATTAATATCTTCCCTCGCTATAAATAAGTCTCAAAACTCAAATTACACTCAATCAATACTCTACAATAAATATACATAAAATAATATTGAACATAAAATTATATTCTTCTTATCTCGGTTTTCTTCATCACTTTAATTTAAAATTTATTAAATAATTGTAATAATAAAAAATGTTTTTCCATAGAAAATTGCAATCCTTAATTAACATATAATTAATAATAAATAATTAATAACAATTCTCATTGCTCTACTGTCCTTTACTCTACATTTATACGGGTGATTAATGATAATTAATGATGTAGCATTAAAATTGTGCATGCGGAATAAATATTAGTTAACAAATCACTCGAATGTGTATTTTATTTTTATAAATATTAATAATTATTGTTTTTTTTTTTTTATTGGTATATAATTCCGCACAATTTTAAATGCATAGGCAGATTAAATTCGCAAGAAATTCGTAGCATTTTTTTTATTTTTAAATATCTTAGCGTAGAATCACCATCGGCCATACACTTTTACATATTTATTTTTAATTCGTTATTAAAGTTGATAAAAAATTCGCCCATTTTGGCTCTACATTTAATCATTGATACATCAAACTTATTTTATTAATTTATGTTAAGTACTTTTAATTATGCCAGAGTTGTTCAGTAGCCAAAAATCTATACGTCTAGTTTTAAATAATTATTGTTAATATTTTTTACACTGAAAATAGCAGACATTAAATAGTTTTTTTTAATTAACCAAAAAATTTACTCGCTATAACAAGATGGCCGAAAGTAAAATTATCCCGACAAAATGGCCGACGCAAAAAATCACCTTTTCGGTAAGATACACGGAAAAAGCAAGATGACACTAGATATCATCCCAGATTATACTCAGTGATATCTGTGGTAAAAAAAATTTTTAGATAGTAGCTAAAAAAAAAATCCAGATTATACTGTGTGATATCTGGATTATACTGAGTGATATCTGGATTACACTCATAGTAATCTGGATTATACTAGCTGCTATCTGAAATTTTTTTTCTCTCAGTATAATCTGGGATGATATCCAGTGTCATCTTATTCTTTCCGTGTATGCATTAAAATTAAATTTTTCTTTTATAAAAAATTTTTTTAAATAAAATTATTTATTATTTATAATTAAATTTATTAAATATCTGCTTTTTTCAGTATAATTTATTTTTTAAATTAATATTTTAGGTGATGGCGTGATGAAGGTACGAAAAACATTCAGTCTCTTAATTTAAACAATTAAGTTATTATTATTATTATTATTATTATTATACTTATTGATGTTGGTTTAATTTTTTAAACTGCCAGTGATCAAAATCTAAAGCGTTCATTTTACAATTAAATATTTTATTTATATATTTATAATAAATAACGCCGAACCACAGCATTTATTTTAATTTGCGTGCCACCGAGTTGACATAATAAATTTTATAAAATTATTGTTAGAAGCGCAGAGACTGCAATGAAAAAAAAAAATAATAATTGAATCCATAAAAATAATACTTTTGAGACAATTGAATTTTATTTTAATATAAATGCAGTTTTCTGTGTATATTTGATTTGTTTTCCTAAAAGTCATAACAGTAAACTCAATTAAACTTTATAATCAAATTGCATTGCAAATGTTTACAATTGTTTTAAAATAAAAAAAAATTCTCTGGCGTTCTAACAAAAAAAATATATCACAGTGCTTGTTTATAAACTTTCCAATCAGCAAAAAAAACGTACCTAGGTAATTTTTTATTTAATTATATTTTACTACTAATTAAATAAGAGTAACAAGCACGAATGAAATATATTTTGTTAATCTATTTTTTTACTACTATTTTTTAAAATTAATTTATGCATTAGTTTTGGTTTAATTAAATGCGCGTTCACTTTATTAATTTTAAATGAAGCTTAAGGATATTAAATAATTACTACTATTGAAAAAAAAAATTATTTATAATCTTAGTAGCTTAAATAATTAATTTTATAAAATATTACACAAGCTTCTAAATTAATTTTAAATATCCTTAAACTATAATTAACAAATTTTTTTAACTTAATAAATGCTTGCTTTATTTTTTTAAAAAATGTTCTTTTATTTTTTTATTTTATTTTATTCACAAATCAAATGATTAAAAATTATTTTTTAAAGAAATTTAATTTTTTATCAGAATAAATCATAAAAAAATTAAAGAACATTTTTTACAAAAAGTAAAAAATTGACATACACAATTGCGGGCTAGATAAATTTGAAAAAAAAAAAAATATAAAAATGCGTATTAATGTATAACGCTTTAATTGAAGTAATTCTTTCTAGCAAATACATCCACCTTCTCCTTCGCCCTCCGCTCCGTTCTGCATTGTCGATTGATTCTGCAAATCAACAGCTGTTTCGATAGTTAAGGTATTTATATAATTATAATTTTAATTATTTATAATAATTATGATCATCATTATTATGAAATATAAATAATCATCAAATTTTATCGATTTTACAACTTTAAACATATCTCAGTAAAAAACGGGACGGAATTATTCTCATGACTCTTTTAACTGTAATTAAAAATCAAAATAAATAAAATAAAGGATTTATTAAAATAAAATACCAAACTAAAGCCTATCTTTTAAATTATTTTAATAGAAATAATATGATTACAATATAATAAAAATAACAAAAGTGACATGAAGTATGACATTAAATATCCTAAATAAATGGTTTTTCTACATTATATGTTTTAGCCGCTTCCCAATTAGATATTATTTACAATTGAGAATAAATTAATAATTATTTATTACCATTAATACAATAAATTGTTTTAATCGCGTAATCACTTTTTTTTTTCTTTTTAAGTATTTAAAAACATGATTTTTTTTTTTTTTTTTAATTATTAGATTAGTACGAAATTACGGAAATGTTCTTGGAACAAAAAAAAATTTTTACATTTTCTTATTGCTATTTATTGTACTTACTCGATAAATTTATTTTGAAATTCTAAATAAAAACTGACCAATTGCTTTTAATTTAACTGTAAGTGGTACAAAAATTGTAAATTTATAAAAAGCTACCGAGTGTGTTAATATTACGCTCAAATTGAAAAAATAGACCTGGAAAAAATATTAAAGTTATTAAAAATTCATTAAAATTACTATAAAATAAAAAAAAAAATAATAAAATTTTTTTTTGTAACAAAAAATGGAGTTTTTCAGAAAAATTGTGGGTGTGATACAATTATTATTATAATTTTTATTTCATAATAATTTTAATAAATTAATATGAATTTTTCATAATTTTAATATTTTTTTCCGGTCTATTTTTTCCAATTACCGCTCAAGTTACCGCGATATAAATTAAATATTAATTTAATAATTTAAATAAAAATTAAAATATAAATATATCTGTATGTATAATTTATAAATATGTATTAATAATAATTAATAATTAGTGCCTTGTTGATGAGTAAAAAATAAAAATACCAAGTAATAAGCAGTATGTAATAAATAATTCTGTGATGATGAACACGAGCAATTATCAATGGTAAAAAAAAAAAAATAAATCTGTTATTGTAATTATTAATTGTAATTGTAATTATAATAGCAATAACATTAGAGTCAATGAGCAATTTACACAAATATGTGCACCACTTATTAAAACATACTGAAACATTGTATCAATCATTTATATTTACTGTTATAAATATTATATTATTATTATTATTATTATTATTATTATTATTACTTATTTATGATAATTATTAATTTTACGATCAAACAGATCCTTGATGCACCGATTATTAATAATTATTAGTTAAATTTTGTTGTTTAATAATTTAAATTTAATTTAATCTGATTGCCTGTCTAGTACATTTATTATGACTTATCTTGATTTAGCATAAACAATTGCTCTCGGAGGCTTTGAGCTCAATTGGTGTGTCCTTGAGAACTACTTCTTGCACTACAGAATTGTTAAAAAAATCAATTAAGGAAAAGATGAAAAATAAATTAAATTAATTTAAATAATTGAAATAATTATAATACAACTAAATTAAAATAAATTTAATTAAATTAAGTGATAAGTAAAAAATGATAAGTAGTAAAATTTTATGTGTTTTTTTAGTGTGTATATTAAAAAAAAGGATACTGTCTTCTGGAGGTTTATTCTCAGTGGAATCCATGCCAGGTAGAGCGGCGGCAACTCTTCTAAATAACTAATCAAATATTTTTTTTTTTAATTATAACATATAACATATATTGTTTTCTTATATAATTTTAAGTTTTTATTTTATCAGGTAATTTTATCTCAATACAATAAAATGTTAGTCACAGTAAAAATATTTGTTTGGACACTTTAAACTTTGTGTGAATTAAATAAAATTTTAAGTTTGGTATTTATTTATTTATTTTTTTTTTGGTGTTTGAAATAAAAGTTAAGATTTTTTCAGTGTTTGATAATAAATTGATTCTACAGCTAGAGTATAATTTTTAAAGCGTCGACAGAAATAATAAAATTGTATTTAATTCACGAGAAAATCAATAATTTAATTACAGATTATTTTTTAAGACTCATGAATTTTTTAAAAGTACTCCAAGAATACTTTAACTTTAAATAAAAATTTAGAATTTACTTGAACTATTTTTATGTAACATAAAAATTTTATGTGTGATAAAATATCCGATAAAATTAAATATATGATAAAAGTATTTTAATCGTCTTGAGAAATTTCAAGTAACTAGAAAAATTATATGTACTCAATATACATATATTACTGAATAAAATATCTAATTAATAGTAATTATCTTTAAAAAATATGATATTGAAAGTAAAATATTTTTTGTGACTTTAAAAAATTGTAAAAAAAAATAATTTAATTTATAAAATTTGTACTAATAAAAATTGAATATAATAAAATTTATAATCAACTATTTTTTCTAATATTAAAAATAAATTTTAATATTAAATTATAATACTTAAAAAAGAAGACATTTCTTATCTAATACTTTCTATTTAACTTAAGCAACCATTAACTTCCTTAATTGAATTATATTGATTTATATTGAATTATATTTAATTTAATACTACTAAAAATTTTACTCTAATTATAAGCCTAAAAAAATAAATTAATTAAATTAACTCAATGCTAAATATCATTCTATTTCTATTATAACTTTTTACTTTTATTATAAACTGAGAAAAAAAAAAAAATTTTTGTCCAGAAAAAAATTTCTTGCCTTAAGAATCGTTTAAAGTAAATTTTGGTTTTTTGACAAAAGAATGTCAATATCTATTATAATAAAATATTGGCAATAATTTTGATAGATTAACAAACGAATAGGTTCACTTGAATTAAACAAAAAATAATTCGATCAATTTTAGAGACGAGAAAATATATTCTTAAAAATTATCAAGAATATGTATTCTTGTGACAAGAAAATTTTCTCAAGAGTAATACTTTTTTTTCTTAGAGTAAACTCAGTAATTCCTCCATTATTATTATTTCCATTATTACTAATTTATAATTTTTCTCTTGTATGTATATATACTCACTTCAATCACTGTACAAAGCCAATTGTCGTTAACTTACTAAATAATTAATACAAATATTTTGACTAAAAAAATTATTTGACTACTTTCAATATCATGAAATTAAAAATATTAATTTTTGAGTTGCTCTTGCTTTGAGGATATCATTCAAAATGGCATCTGTGGTGCCATCTATTATTTTTTGAAAATTTTTTGAGATTCATGAAAATTTACAATTTCAATTGCACAAATCAATATACTTTTTGAAAAGCTCGACATGACACCACTTTTTTTTCAATCTATACTTTATAAAACAAAAATCCGATCCCCGAAGTTCTTTATTATCCCGGTCAAAAAAATTCCCCAAAATCACATATTTTTTCGATCCTCACAGTGGCTATCCCCCTTAAAGAATGAAGTTTTTAGTAAAAAAAAGTCAAATTTTTCGAAATTTGACTTTCTCGCATTTTTTTTTAATAATTAAACAATTAAAAAAAAATTAAAAAACGATTGAGTTATCGTTAACAACGTAAATGTTAAGAATTACTCTCATGTACGACTCGAGTGAAAATATTGAAAAGAATGCAAGTAGCAAAAATTTTTTCCGTGCATGAGGTCAACTAGACTCAGTATGACCACTACGTTATTTTTTAATAAGTGTGACCACTACGGTTTAATATAGCAGAAATCTAACAGTATTTATGATTTTTTTTCTAAAAAAAATAATTTAAAAAAAATCTTAGAAAAATTTTACATGTAGAAAATTAGAAAAACTAAAAGTGCAATTAAAAAAAATTTTATTCAATTAAAGACAAAAATTTTTAAATTGTTAAATATATGCTGATTGCAGTATCATTAATTAAAATACAATAAGCTGTAAGCTATAATTTTTTTTAATAATAAAAAAAAATAATACATACCTGCTTAACATTATATCCTGCCTTAGCACTAGTTTCGATGAACATAACATTTAATTCCTTAGCTTTACGTTCACCATCTTCAGTAGAAACTTGCCGTTTGTCACTTAAATCCGTCTTGTTGCCAACAAGCATGATAATAACATCACTGCCCCGCTCTGTCCGCACGTCATCAATCCACTTGGATGTTTGATGAAATGAATTCGCGTCTGGCAAATAAAACTCATGCTTAAGTAACGTGTCATAATTCATAATTCATAAATAATTGTTAATATAAACTTACTGGTGATATCATAAACTACAACGGCGACCGTTGAATCCCTAATGTAACTTGGGATCAGCGAACGGAATCTTTCCTGACCCGCGGTGTCCCATAATTGCAGTCTAACTGTTCTGTCCTCCAAGTACATCGTTTTACTCAAGAAGTCTATTCCTATCGTAGCCTGAAATAATATTTTTTTTATTTTTTTTAATATTAAATTCCGTCTGGTATTCCAACTGTAATTTATTCATTGATATATTATCATATTTATTTGATATATATATACCTGATAAGTATTGTCAAAACTGTCATACATGAACCGTGTTATAAGTGAAGTTTTTCCAACTGAAAAAAAAAAAAATAATTGTTTTTTTAGTTAATTTTATTTTAACGCAATTAATAAAAATAATAAAAAAAATATTTTAAAATTGACAGAAAAAAAAGATGTAATAAAAAGAGAGCAAGAGAGATAAAATACGAGACAGCCTTTAAGTGATATCGATTTATAACCTCGAACAAAATATTAAAAATTCAGACTAAAATATATCCATGACACAAAATAATGTAGGGTTAAATAAACCCTGAATTGATAAATTTACAGTAATTATTTAGGATGGATAAAAAAAAATATTTTAGTAAATAAAAATAAATGTATATATGTGAAAGGAAATTTACCACTTTGTTCACCAAGAAACACAAGCTTGAATTTCCGCAACGGGTTACCAAAATCACCCGACGACGACATTGTTTAATTGTTATTATTATTATTGCTCTACGATAAATAATGTGTTGCTATTGATAAAACAATATTTAAATAAATAAGTTATTAATTGTAGAGTGTAAGTATTGTTATTGTGTTAATATACATCAAATAATGAGAATTATTCTCGGGGCTATTTGACAGTTCCGTGACACACACACACGACCACTCCTCTTTCTCTTTTTCTCCGATCTCAACAGCTTTGCTCGTTCGCAGCCGCCACGTTTGACTGGGAAGTGACGTCATTCGTGCCTCCAGCTTTGAATCTCCAAGTTTCAGACTTGCGACACTTGTTTCATTTTTATTATTATATTTATTGTTTTAGTACTGTCAATATACAGCGGTTGAAGAATTTTTTTTTTTTTTATTTATATGTATAATAAATTTTGACATTTTTTTTTTGACAAATCAATTATAATTAAAACATTTCATAAGTATTTTTTTTGTTAAAATTTTTAAAGAATTTAAACTGAATTAAAAAAAAATTGAAATATAAAAATTTTAACTAAAAAATTTGACATGTATAAAAATTATTTATGAAATATTTTTTGATTTTTTCTTAAAAAAATTTTATTTCAAGACCATAAAATTTGTTTTTGTTAAAAATTTTTAAATACAACAATTATAATTAAGAAATTTAACATGTAGAAATTTTTAATAATTATTGATGCAATTTTTTAATGTTGATTTCTTCTTAAAAAAAAATTTTTTTTTTAATTCTAAAATTTATTTCTGTTAAAAATTATTAATGATTTAAAAAAAAATTATAATTGAAAAATTTGATGAGTAGAAATTTTTAAAAAGCATTAAAGTAATTTTTTTAATGTTAATTTCTTCTTAAAAAAAAATTTTTTTTCAAAACCAAAATTTATTTTCATCAAAAATTTTTAAATAATTTTACAACAAATTATAATTGAAATTTTGATAAGTAGAAACTTTTTAAAATCATTGAAGCAATTTTTTTAATGTTAATTTCTTCTTAAAAATAAAATTTTTTTTCAAAGCTACAAAATTTGTTTTTGTTAAAAAGTATTAAATGATTTTAAAACTAATTATAATTAAAAAATTTGATAAGTAGAAATTTTTAAAAATTTTCAAAAATACTTATTGTAATATTTTAGATAAAAAAAAAATAACATGCATGCAACTTTTAATATAATATTTTTATTATCTTTTCCTTATCAATTTACACCTCAGTAAATTGAACAGCAATTTTGTATTCTATTGAACAACTGCAAATATACTGTAGTATAGCCTTAAATGTTAATGTTGAAAAAAGAAATTTCACAATCGCAATAAATACAATTTATCTGTAGGATGTAATTATCATAATTACATTCTCTTGTGTAGGTGTCTGAACTCTCAATAACAAAATATATTTTAATAGACATATATATTTTATATTTATATATAATTTTATGTACAGACTTTACAATTTAGATTTAAAATATTTAAATTCATATAAAAACATTTAGTGGTAAATAATTGTTTAATCTTGGTGAGGGCGATTGTTGAAGTTATTGTTGTTATTTGTTCTGTCGGGATCTTCAACTACTATTGAATGACAAGCGAGATCGTAACCGGTACGATTGAATCTGAAGGAAAACAGGGAGAAGCAAATTGGAAATATTAGAGTCATTATTAAATTTTTTACAATTGAACGTCCCAGAGCTAACGGGAGACCCAGGTCGGTACCAGGAGATACTAGCACCACTTCGGTCCCATCACGACGTTCTACTGGTGTTATTGTACGGCATTGCACAACTCTAAGACCCATCAGGAATTTACCAGGTGTTGCACCACCGATACGACCATTTATGCCGTGTTGAATAAATATTGCCTGTAATTTGAATTAATTAGTATATTGTATATTTTATTTTTATTAGTTTTTAAAAAATTAATATTTTATTTTGATTTCTAGAGATGATATTTATTGATAGTAAAGTTAGCCGAAGTTTTTGATTTTTTTCCATTTATTAAATTAGAACTAAAAAAAATATTTGTTAAAAATTGCACTTGTAATTTTTCAAGTGTTTTACAAATAATATTTTTTTTAATTTTTTTATAAGGCAATTATGCAGAAGTGGGCTCCACCTATTTTTTTTCCAATTGTTCTTCTTCATGGCGAATTTATGATAAAAATAATAAAAAGTATAAAAATTGAATATTTTTATGATTTTTTTTTCATTTAAAGTTTAAAAATTTACGATTTTAGGTGTTTTACAATAAAATGGTGGGGATGCTATTTTTTACGGTTATTGAAATATTTTTTTTCCTAAAGAGCGATAAAAATAGAATAAATTAGAAAAAAAAAATTCAGAATACATAGAAAAAAGAAAACTCGAAAAATTACAAAATTACAAGTATAAAATGTAAAACCGGTCCCGTCTAGTCGTAATCAAAACTAGAAAAATTACAGTTTGAAATAACATTTCTCTAAATTCAATTTTCAGAGCTTTCAATGTAAATATAACATTCTACAATGTAATTCTTATAAAATTTGTTTACAGTTTGAAATAACATTTCTCTAAATTCAATTTTCAGAGCTTTCAATGTAAATATAACATTCTACAATGTAATTCTTATAAAATTTGTAATAATTACAATCTAAAACTGAAATTTTTTCAATTTTCATCACGAAGAGCCACGTTGCATTATATACTGTAATTTTTCGAGTTTTCTTTTTTCCGTGTATCATAATTTAAAAATTTTTTAACTTCAAATGAAAAAAAAGCACCAAAATATTCAATTTTCATAATTTTTATCATAAATCCGCCGTTAAGAACAATTTGAAAAATAATAATTTAAAAAATCAATTTTTCGATTTTTTTACTTTATTTAAAATAAGTGGAGCCCCACTTCTGCATAATTACCAATTTTTTTTTATATTGGTCGCTTCAACTAAATAAATATATTCTGAACCGTATTTTTGTTTTTAGTTTTAATTTTAAAAATAAAAATGTAACAAAAAGTTATTTCAAGTTTCTTAAAAATTTTGAAGAAAAATATTCTTAATTATAAAAAATTTTTCCTTAACATAAAGTTCTCCAAAATTATTTTCTTTACTGTTCGAAAAATTGATCTTTTTTATGACATTGAAATCAGTAGAAACTTGAACCTATTAATTTTATTTAAAATTTAATTTGACTAAAAAAAATATTTTTAAGAAAATTACATTCATAATTTTCTAAAATTTCTACAAATAGATTTTTAAAAAATTTTCTTTGCAACAATTTATTGCTTAAAAAAAATTCCTAAGAATTATTAAAGCTTTAAAAATTAAAAATAAATTACCAACTAAAACATACTTAAATATTAATAACCACCTGTGCTACAATATAAATTGAAATTACCTCAAATACACAGACAATAAAACGATGCATCAATTCCCAAATCAATATCGTCGATGCAACGTCCATAGCCATTTTATAGTCAACTATTTTCAAACTACTCTGCAGTGTGTCAAGAGTGTACGGCTCCATATTCCTAAAATTATAATTATAAATCAATTAAAAAAATAGAACAAAATAATTGGGAAACCGAGGCAAAACAAGTTTACGCATAAATATTATATTAGTTATAGGACATCTTGTTAAGCTTTGTAAATATATAAACTTATATTTACATTATGTATAATTCTATTAACCCAGTTAATGGCGCAAGCTATTGGGTTTAATTGTTTTTCAATAAAAATTTAACAAAATAAAAACAAATTTTTCGATCGTAAAGCACTATCTGATGCTTTTGCATCATTTGTGCAAAAAGTTAATAAAAAATACACTTACATAGTGGCAAATATATCTAGCGCAACAAATGTTATTACTAATTTTAAAACAAATAACATTAACGAGTCTATTAATTCTGCTACAAAACGCTTCCATATCGGCGGTATATGATATTCAATACCTGGAAGTAATGAATTATCAATAATTAGCTTTCAACAATAACAATAATAATAATAATAACAATCATTGGAAAGATAATTAAATAAATTACCATCAGGTCGATTGGAATTGGAATTGGAAGTTGTACCATTTAAATTATTTCTAGACTGATCAGCCTGCTGATTAGTTTGTGCACTTGAACTTGTTGATTGTGAAGTGCCAGGGGTATTTATTGACGAATTATTGATATTGCTGCAACTAGCCGGTGATTGATTCAGCGGGGATCCTGCTAGAGAATAAAATCAATGTTATCATAAATAATAAATGAGATTAAAGGTTAAGTGGTCAACTTATCAACTTATATAGGTCTATAGACCTAGATCACTGTACAGATGTTAGGTGAATCTTACCAGGTTGATGCAACAGTTGACCAGACATAAGATAATATGGTACAGTAGCAGCAGCACTTTGCCATGCATAGGCTTCTTGTAACCATTTTTCTAGCTTTAGAAAATAATCATCTCGCTCTTTTTTTCTTCTCGCTTTATCGTCCAATATTTCTTCATTTATATTTTCATTTTCCTTAGACATTTTTTATTTATCTATTATCTATCAATAAATATAAATTTTATTTAAGTAACTTAAATTAGTATCACTTATTTATTGGTTATAATTTTTTTTATACGTATTGTTATGATTCAACCTTAATATATATACACGTATGATCTAGGGTACTTGGAGACTACGACATTATCACAACAATGTTAATAATTTATCAGAAATATATAGACACTATTACTACTTACTACGGCTGTCATATATATATATATATATATATATATATATATATGTATATATATATATATATATATGTTAGCAGTGTTTGCATGTATTTGACATAAATAAACTAATCGACTTTTTTTTAGTCATACTTTAAATACGTGACGTCACTTGCGCGGGAAATTTTTAAATTCACTTAAGAATTATTTGTTTTCTTTTTTATTTTATTAAAGTAAAAAAATTACAATTATTTTTTTTCAGGTTAGTAAATATTAATTAATTAATTAAAAAGTTATTTATTACAAGTGTTTATTTTAGGGTCATTATTTATTTTTTCTTCTAAAAGTTTAACTAATTCTTGACGTTTCTCTAAAAGTCCTTTTATTTCTTCACCGAAATTTTTTATCATTTCTATTATTTCACTTTCACTTTGATTTTCTTCAAGGTTATTATTTTCATTGTTGTTGTTATTGATATTCTCTGAAGACTCGGAATCAGATGAGGTTGAAGGACTAGAAAAGTATCCCATCATTGGAGAAATATCTTCTGCTATTAAATCTGTTATTTCTTCCTGATCTTCTTCTGGATAATTTTCTATAAGTATAAAAAAAAAAATCATTAAAATTAATCAATAATTTACAGTGCAAAAGTTTATTTTTTAAAAAAAGTGACACAGATTTTTTTAGGTTTCATTTTTAATAACAAAAAAAATTAATTATTGATATTCATATTTTTTAAAAATAATTATTAAAAATTTTAACAATGTTAAAATATTATTCGTATGAAAAATAAATGAAAATATGATATTATTTATAAAAAAAGATTGAAAATTTTGCATAAAAATGTTTATAAATATTTTCAATTTTTTTTTTTTTAATAATTAATTTATTAAAAAAAAATTTAACACTGCAAAAAATATTTTTTTAAGCATTTGAAAAAATTTCTAGAAATTTTTTTTTGTAAATTAAACTTTTATAACCTAACAACAAAAAAATAATTAAAATAATTTCTTCTATTTGTTTATTAAAAAAAAAATTAATTTTATAACTAAAAGTTTGACATTGAAGGTTATATTTGAGTACTTACGGAAATTAGATTGTAACAACATGTTTTTTTTATATATTATTATTTACAAATGTCCAATAAAAACAATCCGAACTTTGTAAATAATTGTTAATTTAATTAATTTCTCTGTAATTATCCCCAAAAAAATGAAATAAACTGATTAAGGTTATTATTATTATGTTTCTAAAACTATAAACTTGATGATAAAGAAGAAATACTAATTAATTTTACCGCCAGTAGATAAATTTAAAAATTTTAAACCAGCAGCGCTGTGGTGAGTAAATAATAAACTACTAATAAAAAACAGCGAGTAGCAGGTCTATAAAAAATAAACCCAACGGCAATAGCTTCCCAGAACAGGCACTGAAGTCATTCGTCGAGTAATCACAGTCAAGATACATTTAAAGAAAGCAAAGGGACTGTTGTCTTTTTCCCGAGTCGCGTTCTCACGACAATAACAAACAGAAGATTAACTAAAAATATAAATAAAAATCTTATTTAACGACGAAAATAAATAGCTTAGTGTTGAGTGAAAAAAAAACTTTTTAAGTTATTAAAATAAATGTTCTACGACTTATTATTTGAAAATAAAAATCTGTGGTGCTTTGGATAGGGTGTAGGCCAACTCCCCTCTCTGCACATTGTTCATTTGACGTAGAAAGGAACACATTGGTAAGTTATTTTTTACTCACTATTACTCTCCGGAAACTAGTCTTCTTTAAACAATAAAACAATACATCGCTCACCTGTCAAATTATTTTATTGCATTTAAAAAAAGTAAAATATTATTTAAACCCAAAATTTAATATTAATTTTTTTGTTTCAGTTAATTAAACATTTAAAATTACTAACACCACACTAGCAATGCTAATTATTAATAATTCATAAATTATTCCGGTGTTACAATGATTCATAATGAATTGACTTGTTATTTGCACACTACGCACATTTAATGTTAATTTTATTGAATTAATTCGATATATTTTATTATTCAAAATTTAAATATTTATCATAATATTTTACGTATGAATTTTTTACCCAAGAAGACAAGCCTAAGCCCATAACTTATCATCGTTAACTTCCGATACGTGATAAAGTTTATTAATAAAAAAAGTTTGGGGAAAAGCTGCGCAGAAAAATTAATACGACTTCCATAAAGATGATATGAAAATAAAGTTAGCCGACATCTAAAAATTTATGTGATTTTTTTTATTAAAGAATTATAAAAAAAAAAAATTTTTTACTTGTTAAAAACTTCAAAAACTATAAGTGCAATTTTTTAAAAATATTTTTTGTAAATTAATAAATTAAGCAAAATAAAAAAATTAAAAATGTCAGCTAACTTTATTAATGAAAATAAAGTTAGTCGACATCTAAAAATTTTTATGATTTTTTTTTATTGAAGAATTATTAGAAAAAAATAAAAAAAAAAAATTTTCACTTGTTAAAAACTTCAAAAACTATAAGTGCAATTTTTTAAAAATATTTTTTAGTTATAATTTACGAATTGAGTAAAATAACAAAATTAAAAATGTCGGCTAACTTTATTATTATAAAAATGATATAAAAAAAATATTAATAATAATAATAGTGATCATGAAAAAATAATAGGTAAAAAAATTCATAGGTACAATAAAGATAAAACCGCACATAGTAAATTGGAGTATGTAATACGTAAGTGGAAAGTGCAGTCTGCAGTAGTCTGATATATAAAATATGTAGCGGGAGCACGCGAGAAAAGGAAACATTCGAGGGTGATCATCATTCATTGCCTCGGTTTTCGTATATACGTTATATTTATACATACTAACTTCAGTCAATACTCGCCAGTGTACATATAATACAAGCATAAGTATATAAACAGGTAAAATCAAAAATTAATACACCGTAAAAGTTTATAATTGAATTTACCAACGTAAATGTCATTTTTATTTCAACACTACTCTGTTTATTAATTTACTTACCGATTATTTTGTTATTTATAAGTGACTATTATTATTATTATTATTTTTTTTTTAATTAATTAATGTAATTTAATTTTTAAACCTTCGCATTTTGCTTTTCATGAACGTAAAAGTGTATGTATGTGCGATCCATTCTCATAACGAAATTTCACTATAATGTACTATTATCTAATGTACTTTGTTGCTAGAGAAAACTTTTACGGGTAATTTATAATGACATCGCAGTCGAGCCTGTTAAAAAAATTAAATTCTTCGTCACAGTAGCTGTTCATAAAAAAATTTATCTGGTACTTTTATTAAATTTAATTCGTGCTAATTAAACAGTTAATTTTTTTTTATATATATATATATATATAGAAAGATTAATTTAAGTGATATAATTATTCATCTAACAGATAATTTTAATTTTAATTTCATTTTTTAGATCACAAATAATCTAGCGGCTGTTTGAATATGGTAATTGATTAATTAGTAAAGGAGAAAAATTGAATACATGCGTCATTATTACCAGAACATGTAACTGAGTTGATTATTATTATTATTAATTTTTTTTTTATGTACATAAATAGAATAGGGGAGAGAAAAAAAAATAATTGACACAGTTGGTTCTATCAAACATTTGTGATATAAATTATCTTGAATCGATGATGTCGATTTCGAAGGCCAGCGTACATCAACAAATTGCCCAATAATTAAATTTTGGTACTATACCGCATATATACTGAATGACGACGCTCGTCCGTGTCTGCAATTTAATTGCGGCTAGATAAATATACCTGTGGTGTAGTAAAATATGCTGGATGATATATTATGAATTGATACATATTTTATTACAATGATATATAATATTTGATAAAACACTACGCAGCAGCTAAATAAAATAAATGAGCCACGATATCCCGGAAAATAAATGAAAGGAAAACCCAAGAATGCTATCGTCATCATTCCATGCCGCTTGATAAATTGTTTCGATGATAAACTAGACATTTTGACGCTTTATTACATTGGTGTAAATATGCTAGATAAATTTGGAAATTTTATCTTTTTATTTTTATGAAAATAGATCACTTGAATTTATTTAATTGCAATTATTGATATTTAAATTCTCGTCCATATTTAAAATATTTAAATAATTTAATCTTGGAAATTTGGACAATAAATGAAGATAAATTATGAGAGTTGCAACTTTTCGCTGATTTATTTCAGCTTCATCAGGCAAACTTAATTAAAAAAATTATTTTTAGTTAATACAAATATTTGAGATATAAAACAAAAATAAATGATATTAACAATAGTATTTCTAAATTTTTTAAGCTAGTAAAAAGTGATATTATCGATAAGCTTTAAGTATTCATTAAGATGCAGAATTAATTTTAAGAAACTGTGATGAAAAATTGTAAAAAACAGTTCTTACTGTTGTACAATGCTAAATAAATGTCTATCTGATAATAACAATAGTTACACTTATGGTTAACATACTTGTCTAGTTTTTGCAAAAAAAAAAAATGTTTGAGATTATGAATATGCTGTTTTACTCTATTACATCTATTGACTTTGTAAAAACTAGACGAGGATACTAACCATAAGAGTAACTATTATTATTTTTGTTTTAATCGTGCAAAAAAAAAATTCTGATTCAAAATGAATTTAAAATTGAATTTCATATTTTGACACAAATATTAATTAGTTTTTAGGGGTGTGCGAATAATTCGAACTTACGAATTATTCGTTTCGAATCGAATAATTTGAATTTTCAAATTATTCGAAATTCGACGAATAATTCGAAAAATTACGAATTATTCGTCAAATTTCGATTAATTAAATAACTCGAATTATTCGATACGAATATCAATATACTCGATTGGAACGATATTCGCACACCCGTATTTGAAATTGTCGATAAGTTCATTATTAATCATTATTATGCATCAATCGAATCGTTTTCACATTCTCTACAAGGATTTTAGGCCAAAAAGTTGATTAGATTAGTAATTTGGAAAAAATTTAGAGTTTCCATTTTTACATGTCCGCGTGGCTATTGCTATCAAGACTTATCAAGACTTATCAAGACTAGGGTTTAAAATTTTCAATAAGTTCATTTTTAAACATTATTATGCATCAATCGAATCGTTTTCACATTCTCTACAAGGATTTTAGGCCAAAAAGTTGATTAGATTAGTAATTTGGAAAAAATTTAGAGTTTCCATTTTTACATGTCCGCGTGGCTATGCTATCAAGTCTTATCAAGACTTATCAAGAGTTAACTAGATTAGGGTTTAAAATTAGGGGTGTGCGAATAATTCGAACTTACAAATTATTCGTTCCGAATCGAATAATTTGAATTTTCGAATTATTCGAAATTCGACGAACAATTCGATTAATTCGAAAAATTACGAATAATTCGAAGTTTCGAATTATTCGTCGAATGTTGATTAATTCGAAAATTCGAATTATTCGGTTCGAATTTCGAATCGAATATCAATATTCGATTCAATTCGATTCGAACGATATTCGCACACCCCTATTAGTTTTGAGATCAATCCAAATTTGAAATTAATTTGTGGATAGAAATTAGCACATCTTTCGAGCTTTCGATCTTACTTCAGAATTTTAATAAAGACTTAGAAATATTTAGGATTAATTTTATGTATAAAATATTCTTCTCTTTATTAAAACTCTAAAAATTTCGAAAAATTTGACTTTTTTTTTACTAAAAACTTCATTTTTTAAAATAAATAAAAATGACCTTCGGGGTTCTACTCCGGACATCATCGCATACATTGAAAAAAAAGTAGTGTCATGTCGAACTTTTTAAAAAGTATATTGATTTGTGCAATTGAAATCGTAAATTTCCATGAATCTCAAAAAATCTTTAAACAATAATAGATGGTACCACAGATACCATTTTGAATGATATCTTTGAAGCAAAAACAACTCCAAAATTGCCTCGGGTAATCTAGACCCATAATGACCACTACGGGTTAACTAAAAATATTTTTTTGATTTTTAGTTTGCCTGATGAAGCTGAAATAAATCAGCGAAACGTTGCAATTCTCATAATTTAACATCTTCATTTATTGTTCAAATTTCCAAGATTATGTTATTTCAATATTATAATTTCAAAGTAAAATTATTGAACAGTTTGGAAAAAAATATCCAATTTAACTGTCAAATAAATCATTAACGCCTTCAGTCAATATTAGTCAACTTACAATTAATATAATTTATGAATTCATTAATTTGTCAATATTAGTTATATTTTTAGATCACAAATTATCAATCTTAAAATATAAGTTTGACATTTATAAATTTTTTTTTCTTATAAAACTTTTGAATGTCAAATTTTATTACACATTTATTTTATTTATAATATTGATTATTGATACGCAGGAAATTTTTTTATTATTCTTCAAAGTGCTAAAAAAAAATTATCGATGGCGTGATACAATATCTAAAGAGATAAATAATAGTTTAACTGAATAAAAGCTCTATAGTCCATTATTATAAAGCACACAAAAGAGTGAATCAATTCAAGTTATTCTTGCTAAAATCACAATTTTTATTTATTTACCTGGAGGATAATAAACCAAATAATTTACTTACAAAATCATTAATTATCATTATATATGTGTGAGCAATTAAATAGAAAATGTATTGTGCATGTGTGATTGTTAAATTTAGCGCATAGTTATTATTATGTTAAATTAATATAAATCGGGTGAAATTAATTTCCATACAATTGAAATATAATAGTAATTTATAAATGTATGAATGTATTTATAAATGAATGTGTCATTAACGAAGACATTTGTTTGCATAGAAGACACATTAATAATATAACTGCGTATAATGTGGTAACAATTGCGAATGCAGGGAGAGAAACTTTTGAATTATTATTGAATTTATGTAATAATAAAATAGCGACGCATTACTGTAACAATTGAACGGGATTGAACTATCAATACACGTCACTGTGAAAAATAACTTAACTCGATAATTCCGGCTCTACAATTCGCATATAAATGGATTTTAATTAAATATTTATTTAGTTTAATTATGTACAAGGTATTAACTCGCGTGAAAAAAGTTAATGAGATTAAACAAGTAATGTATAAATTAGCAGTTGTATATAAAGTGATATTTATGTTTAACTCTTTAAAAAGAGTATAAATAAAACTTTTTTTTTAATTTATTAAGTAATAAGACGTGATGCGAATTATAAATACTTAAAAGTTGTACTGCTGGGCTTACTTCCGACGCTTTTCAACCATACTTTTTAACATTTAATATTCACCTAAGACTTATTCAGTGACGAATGACGTACGAGCCATTTAATTTCTAGGGACGCTCGTTTAAACACTTCACTTCCTATTATCTACGTCACTTGATTGTTTTGTAGTGGACTTTATGAATTCAGGCTGGCTAATTGTTGTAGTCGGATTTATTTTACCTCAAATATTTTACTTGCAATTTTTTTTATTTTTAATATTTAAATTTTTGTTTTTTTATCTAGTTTCAGGAAGCCGGAAATTAATCTCAAGTGATCGGAACCTGGATATCTGGCCATGGATACTGTCGACGGTGAGAGCAGACGACAGCCCACTAGAGTGTTCAAGAAGCCTAGTAATAATGGAAAAATTACTGTTTACTTAAGCAAACGTGATTTTGTTGATCATATGACGCACATCGATCCTATAGGTAATAAATCATTTTTAATAGTCATTTATTTTATTTGCACACAGAAAAAAAAATTAACTTGATTCAAGAGAAAAATTTTTAAATCAAGCAAAATTTACTTAAAACAAAAAGAATTTTTTGGATTATGAATTTTTACATTTGAATCAAGAAGATAAAGTTCTTTAAAATTATTTACTCAGTTTCTCAGGTCTAAACATTACAAAATTTCCAAAAACCAAATCAGGATATAGTAGACCAAAAATTTTTAATGATTTTTTTATTTATTCCATTTTGTAAATTGGAATAAATAAATAAAAAAACATACAAATTTTTGGTCTGCTATATCCTGATTTTATTTTTGAAAAATTATTTACTTAATTATGAAAAAGTAAAAAAATTCCTCGAGTTAGCGAAATTAGATAAAGAAATTTGATCATTAAATATGTAATGTTAACATTAGCACTATTATTATTATTGTTATTATTACTATCATGTTTATTAATTTACTACTAAAATGTGAATATTATAATTGTAATAGCAGTCGCTAATAACTAACATAATAGTTGAAACAACCTTAATTATGAAATAAAAAAAAATCATTTACTTGATTCAAGTAAATTTTTTTTCTGTACAGTTGCTGTTTTTTAAAATTGAATCTTAATTTTCGTTGTTCAAAAATCAAAAAACAGTGAAGTATTTTTTTTTTTTAGTTGAAAAATAAATTAATGAACTTTCGTTGTTTATTTTGTTAGCTGTCAATCGCCTGCTTTGCTGGGCTAGAGTTTTAATTAGTTTGTTTTATAGTAAAACAATTTTTTTTACTTTATATTGGCTTTTACCGGTAATTATATTCTTAAAGACTTTTGTAAATATTTATAAGTTTTTATTTACAAGGATAAATCGTCTAAATATTATCGTGTTTTATAAGTTGGTCGTTAAAAATAAAAATTATTTTTAGTTTTGTTGTTGACATCTCTATAATCGTAATCAAGATTCTATTGAACTTAAAAAATTATAAATTATTTATTTAAATAAAATTACAAAAATAATTATTTGTAATGAATTATTATTTTTTTAACTAACAAAATATCGATAAAATATTATCAACTTAAAAGATTAACTGAGAAATTATGCATTTTATGAGATTAATTTGATGTCCATTGGTTTGATAGTTTTGTTCTATTAGGCATGTCTGAAAAAGGTCTCTTCAATTATTAGTATAAATATAGATTATTTAAGATGTATATTTAGTTTATTTTTACGACAGCTTATCTAAAAATTGAAATACTATTATAAAAACTCAAAAATACTTACTTAGTTTTAGACTGATATTTAAAATTTTTCTGAATTATTAATTTTAAAAATTTTATTTCATATTAAATAAATAAATAAATAAATACTAACAAAAAAATTTATATCGTTTTTTTTATGATATAAAATAATTGTCAAAAAAACTTTTTTTTTGAGAAAATAATTTTATTTTTTAAAGAAAATTTTGTCACAGTTCAATACTTTTACAGCGTTGGTAGAGCTTGATAATTAAAATTTTTAAAAATTATTAATTTAAATTTTATTTTATATTGAATTTAAAATGTTAATTCAAAAACAGTGAATCTTTGAATTTTTATTTTTATTTCAAATAATTAATTGAAAAAATAACGACTTTACAATTAAAACTTAGATAATTATTTACAAGTGGGTCAACTTATGCTAGACCATGTTAATTTTTTTTTCTTTTTCCATCAAATTGATCAATCTTTTTTTTATTGTTCATTTTTTATGTATTCAAAAAAAATATATCGAAAACATAAAAAAAAAAAAATAAAATATAAATTTTATCCAAAAACATGAAAGCCAAAATTTTTTCCAACTTTTATAGGCAAAAAAGTTATTGAAATTTTAATTTTTTCCTTTCACGACATTTTTTATCATTAATCAAAAGTAAAAAAAATCAAGGTTACAAATGAACAATTGAGGATGTAATATAGGTTTAAAATTAAAAAAATACGCTGCAATTTTTTATACAAATTTTACATAAGTTAATTTAGTCGATTTAATGAGAAATAAAAATAAATTTCCTTATTTATTGGAATAGATAAATTCAACACAAAAAAATGAATTTAAATCACCTAAAATTAGCATAAACTCCTTGTGGATCAGATTAATGGATTATTAAGCATTTTAATTAGTTTAATCCTTCAGGACTTTGTGCGTAAGACCATTGACTGTAAAGTGTTGTAATTTATACCACAGTTCGTAAGTCACGTCGTAACAAGGCTGCTAATATTAATTAAACTAATGATTACAGTTTAATAAAATATTACTACTAATGTAAAATGAAGTCAAAAATATCCCAGATTTACTTTAATAACTTCTATGATAATAGAAGCCATTTTTTAAGTGAGATAATTAAATTGTATCCGCTAGCAAACATGATAAATTTATCTCAGTATTAACCTAGGTCATTAGCAAGTTTAATTTATCAAGAAGACAATGCGTAGCGATAACGTAGCTTTTGTTATATATTGCATTGTACACAATGTTCCTTAGAAAATCAATCATTTAGATTTAAATATTTATACATTTTTTTTTACTTGCAGATGGTGTGGTTTTGATAGATCCAGAATACGTCAAAGAGCGTAAGGTGTTTGGAAATGTATTGGCACATCTACGATTCGGCCGTGAAGATCTTGATGTACTTGGACTGATCGTAAAACGTGAGCTTCATCTGGCGACTGATCAAATTTATCCGCCCACAAATGAAGAACAGCCGCAAAAATTAACTCGCCTGCAGGAGAGATTAATTAAAAAATTAGGAAAAAATGCTTATCCTTTTTATTTCAAATTACCACCAAATAGTCCAGCTTCGGTGACACTACAGCCGGCTATCTGCGAGCCAGGCAAAGCCTATGGGGTTGATTACGAGCTCATTGTCTTCGTGGGCGAGAATAAAGACGGCAGACCCCTGAAGCGGTAATTATTTTCAATAATTAAAATACTATTAATTTTTTTTTTTTATTATTAATTATTAATAATCTATATAATTAAGAGAATAAGAAAAATTTTGTCTCCGACGTATTTATATGATAAAGGAAGGTTTTTTAATTAAATTTTTTTCAGTATCATTGGAAAAGTTTTAACCTGAATTTGTTGTGTGTTTTCATTGTTTCATTTGATTTTCAACAATAGTTTATTTATTATGATAAGTGTTTAAAGTAGTTTGAAACGTGGCTGGTCTTGAGTGTTCGTAGAGTGAACAAATTATTCCATTACAAAATAAATTATTTAGATTTATTTAAATTATTAATTAATTACGAAATGGATTGTCTAAATTTTAGCTTAATAAATTCTACGAACTGGCCCGAAAAGACACGCCCGTTACACCCGGAGTGTAACCAACTCGAAGCCGTGGCTTATAAGAGTCGATGCTGCTCCAGATGCCTGTAGCTTTAGATTTTACGGCGGACCAAGCCGATAGCTTTCAAAGCTACAAATAGCTAAATTGATTTAATTCGCGTAAAGAATATGGTCCAGGGCAAATCGTGGGTGGCGATACTCGTTGAAAAGTGGGTTCAGCTCCGACACAAACCAACCTTTACCGCGTACTGCTCCGCTGATCGCTTAGTTGGAAGGAAAAATAGAGCTAAATGGTCGTCAAATACAAATATTGAAAAATACAGCTCAAAGTAAGTTCAATACCGCGTCCAATTCTTACCAATATACCACCTGACTTACAACAGGTACTACTACCACTTCGGTGTGCTTTAACGTTGTCCAGCGGTGGTAGATTCCTCGTGGCTGCAGCTGGGCCGGTTACTGGATCAGGAACAGACGAATAATCGAGGTAACCAACAACCAGGATCTTCCTTGAACAATGAAACGACGCTTTCCTCAACAAAATGGCTGACTACTTGAGACCTCTTGAGTACACGACATGCCAAGCGAAATTATCTTGTATATGCGTCGTATTAATTAATAAATGTACGACATACTCCTTGTTAACTAATAATCAGAGTCGTATCGTACTATTATAGTTTAAAATGCCGTTATTCTTTAATAAACGGTGTAAATTAATAAAGTACCGAACATTACGTTGTAACACGGTAATTAGTATATTACATACCTAGGCCAGTAAAATAAGAAAAGTCTCAGATCACATGTAATTGTTGGCCGAGGCGAAGCCGAGGTTGACAAACATGTGATCTGAGGCTTTACTTTTTACTGGCCAAGGTGTGTATACTATTTTTCTGCTCGACGTAGCCGGAATGTGGCAACTTTGTTTAGCGCAGCGGCCAGAAAGTTGCCACTTTCCGGCCGGAGGGCAGAAAAATAATTACTTATATTTCAAGAAATATATCAATTACAGAAGTATACATTATGGGGGTTGAACAAAGGCGGCTTCCGCGTACATATTTTAGCATTGAGAAATGGGGAGACGTTTAGCGCCACTCTTAAATAATTTTCGTACTATTAACAATTATCATCTAAATTATAATCTGATCTATGTTATCGGTAAACGTTTAGTATCAGGTGGTAAATTGGCATTTACCCAATGTGAGCCAACTGGCCACGTTGCAAGTTATAAATAGATTCGAATTTCGCGATAAACAAAATTTTTTTATTTATTTTGCTTTGTACAAGTAAATGTGTTTATAAATTAATTTATTTATTTATTAATCAACATACGCCTATCGGCAATATACATCAGAAGAAATGATTAAAATTAAATAACATTAATTAGAATTTAATTGAATAAAAGAAAAACGAGAAAAACTCTGAGTAGATTATATGTAAATGAGTAAATGTTTTTTTAGATTGAGAGACTAAGAAAAATTTTTTAACGGGTACTTATATCTTTATCGTAAATTGAATTTGATATTTTTTAGCGATAGTCATTTATGATTTAAATAATTGAGAGGGTAAGGAAAATTTTGTGCCGAGCACAATTATTTTTTCAATTTATTTAAAAAGTACCCAAACTATATATAGTGTGATTATAAATATAAAAAATCATTAAGGCAATGTTTTCTTATTCATAATCCGTAAATCTCGTAAGTCAAACAGTGACTGCAGGTTGTTAGTCTATATGATTAAAAGAATAAAGAAAATTTTGTCTCCGGTGTATTTATATGATAAAATGAGTTCTTTTAATTAAATTTAGTATCATTGGAGAAGTTTTGACCTGAATTTATGCGTTTTGAAGGTTTCATATGCTTTTCAACAATAGTTTATTTATTATGATAAGTTTTTGAAGTAGTTATAAATAGATTCGAATTTCCCGATTAACAAAATTTGTTTATTTATTTATTTTTCTCTGTACAAGTAATTGTGGTTGTGTCAAAAATTAATTTATATAATTAAGAGATCAAGAAACATTTTATAACGGGTATATATTTATCAAAAATTGGGTTTGATATGCTTTTAGCTATAGTTATTTATGATTTAAATAATTCACAGAGTAAGGAAAATTTTTTAATTTTTTATTTACTTCTGGGTATACATTATATAGAGGTACATTACACCTGTGCATAAAAATCAGAAAAAAAGAAAATACAAAAATTATGCATACTTTTTTCAAATCAAGAAAATTTTAATAGAAAAAAAACGCACAAAATTACAAATGCCAAAAAAAATCGCTATACAGTCATCTCAAAAATATAGATAAAATCATCAGTTTCTAACAATTTAAATTTTTAACAAATTTTTCTTCTTAGAACCTTCTTAGATACATCCAGTGTTTTTAACTCATTAGGTAGTTTATTATAAATTACAATATTTAATTGCAACATAGTAAGCATTTTTTCTGACGAGCATATTATTGTTTTAAAAGGAATTTTTATAGTTAAATTTGATATCATTTGTACCTTTTTACGGTTTTATATATTTTTCAGTAATATTCAATTTTTTATGTTAAATTTTTAATAAGTTTTTAATAGTTTGTTGATTCTATAAATTTATTCCGTCACATTTGTTTATAAAATAATTTGTAATTGATCCTGTGATTGGACTATTATTTTAAAAATTTATTTCAAAAATACCCAAAGTGACTGCAGGTTGTTAGTTGTAATTAATTAATTTTTTAAATTTTTTCAAGGAGCACCGTACGGTTGGCGATAAGAAAAATAATGTACGCGCCATCGCGACAGGGCGAACAGCCATCAATAGAAGTAAGCAAAGAGTTCCTTATGTCTCGAAACAGACTTCATTTAGAAGCGTCTCTGGACAAAGAGTTGTATCACCACGGAGAGAACATCGAAGTAAATGTTCACATTGCCAACAACAGTAATCGAACAGTCAAAAAAATCAAGGTGTCAGTGAGACAGTTTGCTGATATTTACGGTTACTCGTCGTCGCAGTACAAGTGCACAGTTGCCGAGACCGAGAGCGCGTGAGTATTCGATTAATCAATAATTAAAATGATTATTTATTAAACTCTACTAATATAAATACCGAGTAAAAAATCACGCGAATGTGGAAGCCGAGTTGAAGTTTTAACAGCGGTACTTTTGTATCGCGATAAATACGCCAATAAAAATAATTTTTAATTGTGTCTATTTGTGATAGTGATAAGCAATTATTAAGATAAATTAATTTTAATTGATAATTATCTGTGTGATAAAATACTTAAAAAAAAATAACTTTGTTGATAATTATATACTTATCTTTTATTTTTTTTTTCTTTTTTTTTTTTAGACGTCATACTCTATTATCGTGACTGTAATGTGTTATTAATAAACTCTTCTTTTTAGTAAACTTCAAAGTCACTAGGTCAAAAGCAGGTACTTTACTAGCAGAAAATCTAGAGTATTTTTATTTACTCGGTATAATTATACAGTTACAGCGGGCTTTTTACTACTGGCTAGATTTATTTTTTATTTAAATTTTATCATTAGGGGCATTCCATAGTGACTAGTGGGAGATTTGACTCTAGAATTCCATCAATTATAAACTATAATATTATGTGACTGAAACGTATACTATAGTAAAATTTATCTTATAATATAGAAGAATAACTAATTAACAACATCCTTTTGTCAAAAACCTCGATAGTTTTTTTGATATACAATTTAAAAATTTTTTTGGGAAAAACATAAAGTAAAATAAAATATATCTATAATTTTTAGGACTTATAATTAAAGAAAATAAAATTTATTTTATTAAAATTTTAGAAAATTATAAGTTTGTATTTTTATTTAAAAAAAAAAAATAAGGTCAATGTACCCTATGTGATCGTAATTTAATTATTAAAAATTGAAATTAAATAATATTTGAGGCTTTCCATAGTGACTAGTGGGACATTTGACTCTAGAATTCCATCAATTATAAACTATAATTATGTGACTGAAACTTATACTACAGTAAAATTTATCTTATAATATAGAAAAATAATTAATTAACATCATCCCTTTGTCAAAAACCTCGATTACTTTTTAAGTTTCTCGTAATTATCATTTGACTGAGTGTGACTGGTGGGACTAAGAAAAATCCTTCTCTCTTACCAAAGGTATACTTAAAGTCCAATTTCAGTTCGACCACTAAACTTTTAAAAAATACTTCCCTCTCAATACAAAATTTATCATACAAACATTCAATATTATGAAGAATTAGACTGATTACCTACGTAGAAACAATTAAAAAAATTTTTTATTGTGACTGGTGGGACAAGCTCAAAATGTGTACATGAAGTTGTTTATTAAAAAGACTATATTATTTCAACCTTAGAAACATTATTGTTTATATATTTAACTATAAATTATTTAGGATAATTAAAAAAAACTAATTAAAAAACACAAATAAAGGACTTAGCATGCTGACAACACGATCTTGATAAACTTAGGTGTTAATTAATAACGAACATAAAACAATTTGTTCTTAAAACTATAATAATAAATATGTTAGTTAATAACAAACATAAAATGAATTTGTTCTTAAAACTATTAAAACAACATTTGACCCGGATATAAGTTAGTACGGCTGAAAAGTTACTAGGAGAGAAAATCGATTTTCTTATTGATAAAAAAAAATCTTTACAAATTAGTAATATATAAACTTTTAATAATAAATTAAAAAAATTTTTTAATTTTAGTCATTTTCCCATTTCACATGGAATGCCCCATTAACGCTCCGTAATTAAAAAAAAATTATTTTATACTGTAGGATAATGAGTGTTGTTAAATTAAACAAAGTAATGATGATGATGATGTTAAACTAGACTTATAAAAAAATATATGTATTAAATGATTGCACCTGGCAGCATAGGAGTAGCGCCAGGATTCACCTTGAGCAAGGTATTTTTTCTAAAACCAACTCTTGCCGACAACAAGGACAAACGAGGTCTCGCCCTAGATGGGCAACTTAAGCACGAGGACACCAATCTCGCATCTAGTACCATGTGAGCGTTCGAGTATTGCCCAATAATCGAATAACACCGAGAGAGTGGAAACTCCAAACTGGCCGTTTCTCTTTATATTCAATTACTCTGGCCCTTTTTATTGTTATTTTTATTATCATTTCTTTCATTATTTTTATTTTTATTTTTATTACTATCAACAGCCCCTTTCACAATAAATTATTCAGTGTAACTAAAATTTACCGAGCGAATATTTAAATCGTTAATATTATTCAAAGTTTTTCGGGAAAAAAAAAAAAAAAAAAAATTAAAACTCCGAGAAAAATAGCGATATCAATTTACAATGTCTAGACAGACATTGTATACTTATAGAGACTCAGTAACTGGCTTTATATAACAAACTAGAACTGGGTCCCACGGTTCATCGTAAAATTACCCGTGAATTTAAAGAAGATAATTGACCCTTTGAGACGACGGCCCGTTTGCAGTCTCCGCTCGACGATTTTTTCCGAAACAAACAGGATTAAAATTTTGGTGGTGGATAGAAAGCCAGTAACATTCACTCGCTTTTTTTTATTTTTATTTTTTCCTATAAAATTATTTTTATCTCTCTAAGTATTTCTCTTACAACCTATATTGTCATTATTTTTTTCTTTGGTTACTTCTATTGTCATTATAATTTATTTATTCTCTTCTAATCTTTTTTTTATTATTTTTTTACCAACTACTTTACTCTGTCATTATCTTCCGATGGATCGAAAAGCCAAAAATATTTATTCCACTCAACTACGAATGCTTGCTCGCTCCTATTATTTTCTTCTTACCCCAACTTTACTGACAAACTCAGCTCAATATTTAATCTAGATATCTTCATAAATATTAATGTCATTTTTCTTACTTAATTCATTAAAACTACTGTTTTTTTTTGTTATTATTATTATTTTTTTTTTTTTTTTTTTTTTTTAATACACCTACCAGCACTCGGTGAACTATATATAAAAACGAATCAATAGAAACAAGAGCGAGAGAGAAAGAGAAAGAAGATATAAATTATATATTTACTTCGCACGATTAATTTATTGATCGTAGCTTTTAATTTGCCATGTTCCCAGCACTGAGACTAATATATTATAATAAAATGAAATATATATTAATGCCCAGCACATTCTACAATGTCGATATCACAATTAATAGCCCTGCTAACAATAAACAATCCCCTTTTCAACGATTTACAAATAATTCACCTCGGCTTCTTACTGAAGAATACTAAATACAATTGTTTAATTTAAGGAATTATTTTTAAAATAAAATTCACTCGATTTTTAAATTCAGGAAAATTAAATTAAATTTAGACTATTATTGCTATATTTTTTTTAATTATATTAAATTGATAATGTTTATTAGGGAAGGTTGTACAGTCGGGCCAGGTTTCACATTGAGCAAAGTTTTTACAGTGGTACCGCGTATTGCCAACAGCAAAAACAAATGGGCCTTAGCGTTAGACGGAAAACTTAAACATCAGGACACCAATTTAGCGTCTAGTACGCTGTAAGCCCAATTAAACTTTATAAGACCAATATTAAGTTATTTATTATTTTTTAATTACTACGGAAATTATAGATACTGTGCAGTTTACATTCATAAGAAATTTATTTTTATTATTATTATTTTATAGTTTTATAGTTGTTTAATTTATTTACTTTTAAGTTGAAAAAAAATCAGGTTAAATTTTACAATTTTTTTATAATGATAATTTTAATGAAATTATTCAAAATAAAAAAATTAATTTTTCAATCGAAATATTTTTTTAATTTATAAAAAGACTTTAAAAAAATTTATTGAAGAAACATGGTGGTTATATCTATTTCTTCTTTGAATAGAATTATCAACTTGAAAATTGTTTTATATTTATAAATATAATGCATTTACTTGAAAATTTAAATTAATTAATTATAAATTTCATTAAAGTAAAAATTTTTCCTGTACACTGATAGAAAGATACATAATTAAGAAATGACCTTGTATCTTGTGAATTATTGACATTTTTTAAGATATAAGCTCACCTCGATGTTACACTCATCAAGACCTTTCATTTGAATACCCACATCAATTTTTCATATATTTATATATATTATATATATGTATATATGAAAAATATATGAAAATGCATATGGGTACTCAAATGACAGTTCTTGATGAGTGTAACATCGGGATGAGCTTATATCTTTAAAAACTTCAATATTTAAGAAATTACAGTGCAATTTAACATAATGTAAAATACCAAATTCTATTACAGCTCATAATTATCTTTTATATTTTCAAATATTAAAAACGTTAATTAATTTAGTAAATTGGATTATTATCATGTATTCCATCTATAGGATTATAAAAAGTGTCAAAAGAAAATAGCTATTTTTGCTTTTTATTTTAAATAAATATTTATTAACTGTTAACAAATATTCATTAACCATTAATAAATATTTATTAAATTTTATGATGTTAAAAAATCATTCATTAACATTTAATAAAGTTTATTAAATATAATCACATCCTTCTATCAGTGTAAAAAAATTTTTTTTTTAATTTATAAAAAAATATTTAACTTTAAAAAAATCTATTGAAGAAACATGACGGTAACATGTATTTCTTCTTTGAATAAAATTAACAACTTAAAAATTGTTTTATATTAGCAAATATAATGAATTTACATAAAAATTTAATTAATTATAATTTCATAAAATTAAAAATTTTTCTTGAATAAAATAAAAAAAAATTTTTTTAATTAAATTTTCACAAAATAACATATAAAAAAATTTTCTAAAGTTGGCAATCCTGTTTTATGATTAAAATTCTCCATTTTGATGTCACAGAATATTGAATAGTAATTAAAGTAATAAATATCGAAATATTATTGATAAATACGCGAGTTAGCTACAATACAATAAAAATTTTCCGATATTTAATTTATATTGATTATAATTTACTATTTATTCTTGATTATATATTTTATATACGTAATAATTTTGGCTTCTCTGTTACTGGTGCTGTATTCTTACGCAACGTTCACGCAGGATATCCGTGGGGTGCCGACCCTCGGAGCTTTTAAATAAACACCCGTCAATCGATACCCGTCATCGGTGTAATCAAAAAATATTTTTTACCTTTTAAACCCTTCGGATATCCTCCTACATGTTACGAAAAAAAAAACTTTTTTTTATATTAAATTGCTTTGCTGAGATTATTTGTTCGCCAAATATTGGTTTTACAAACAAAAATTTATTTTCCCAAATGTTTACACGTAAACAATATTTTAATTGCTGTTGGTCCAAAAAAAATAACAGTTCACTGAGAAATTAATTACTTGAATTTTTTACGGATAAAAAATAAATAGAATTTTTAATTTAGAAGAAATTTAATTGAGATATTTTTTTTTAATAATTTAAAGGTATAAAAATTCAGAAAAAAAGATAAAAACAAACTACACAAAAACGATAGAAAAATATTATAAATAATTTTAAATATTTAAATTCAAGCACAATAGAGTTACTTATTATTAAATAATTAACTGAGAGTTGTTGACACTCGGTGAATTAAATTGTAACGTTACTTATTAAATCTTTAAAGTTTCGCCTCTTTTATCACCATATCAAATTCTGTTTTTATGTTTCAGCTTAAAGTTTAATTACGCTTTGCTATTAATGCCTTGATACTTACAATTGCTTTCTCGCCTCTCTTTATTGTTTCCTCTTCTGTCGCTTTTCTATTTGCTTTTATTCATTGACATTATTTTACCCAAAAACTCTTTAATAGCTCGCTAAAATTGCATGGCATGCTTATTAACAGTCTGAGTAATTACTAATTACAAAATCTAGTTTATTATGTTATTATTAGAGTAAGAAAGTTATATTAAGCTTTAATTTTACAGTAACGTTGATCCTTCACAACGTGAAAATCTTGGAGTCATTGTGCAGTACAAAGTCAAAGTTAAATTGTGCCTCGGAGCTTTGGGAGGGTAAGTAATGTAATTTATATTACAAAATATAATTTATTATTTATCATACTTTGTCAAAGATTTTATGAATTATTATTATTATTATTATTATTATTATTATTATTATTTTCAGTGAACTTGTGGCAGAATTACCATTTATCTTGATGCATCCAAAACCAGAAGAAGAAACTTCATCGCCAGTAACAGTTCAACCAAGTTCAACAAATCCATCTGAAAATGGAGAATGCGCTAATGATACTAATCTTATTCAGTTGGACACGTAAGAAATATTTTATGAGTAATTATTACACTGAAAGAATTTTTTTTTTTAATTTAAAAATATAAATTTTTTCAATAATTAGATAGTATTTAGTAATTTCATTTAAGGTGGTTGTCGTGATTAAGGCATAGCGTTAGAAAATTCTAAATTTTTGTATAGTTATCAAAGGAAAAGTTGATATTGTTGGAAAATTCTTGACCTGGAGTTGTGCCTTTTCATGGTTTCATATCATTCTCACCAATAGTCAATTTATGATGATAAGAATTTAGGGTGCATTCGAAAATATTCTATCTTTAGATACATAATTAAGAAATGACCTTGTATCTTGTGAACCATTGACATTTTTTAAGATATAAGCTCATCTCGAGATTACACTCATCAAGAGCTTTCATTTGAGTACCCACATGCATTTTGATATATTTTTCATATATACATATATATATAATATATATAAATATATGAAAAATTGATGTGGGTACTCAAATGAAAGGTCTTGATGAGTATAACATCGGGATGACCTTATATCTTTAAAAATGTCAATATTTAAGAAAGCACAGTGCTCTTTAACATAATTAAGAAATGACCTTGTATCTTGTGAACTATTAACATTTTTAAAGATATAAACTCATCCCGATATTACACTCATCAAGACCTTTCATTTAAGTACCCACATCAATTTATCATATATTTATATGTATTATATATATATATATATATGTATATATAAAAAATATAT